GCCCGGTGGCATGTATTTTGGGAGGCCCTAAACCCTAAACCCTACCTAAACCCTAAACCCTGAACCCGACCTGAACCCTAAACTCCTAAACCCTACCTAAACCCTAAACCCTGAACCCAAGTTCCCAACACATTCGTGTGCGAGGTTGCAGTTTAGGACGGGCACAGACGCGCCCTGAGATATCTTGACGGACTTTCCTGGCTTCCGGTGGAGCACTGACCTTAAGGTTTATGACAGACTGTCCTGAAAAGAAGCCTGTCTCAGCCTCTTTAGAGACACCGAGGATGAATACACAGGGCGTAACTGGTGGTACCACTGCCGCCTTATAGCCACACTCCTGAATCTAAGTATTCTAGAGTATACTCCAACACCCTGTTCTAGTAACTACGGCCCCTATATCGAAGACCTTCGATCAGGTGGAGTCATCGCCACTGGCGGAACCTGCCGTGGCATCACTGTATCGACCTTGGCGGAGGCAGCGAGAAGCGAACCCAGAGGGTTGAATGTAGGGGCCTTTATAATTATACCTATATTATTTGGGGAGTTCCTTCTTATAGTTCTAGTATAATATACCCCCAAACCCTATTATTTTTATGAAGGCCCCATTATCAGGGTTTTGGGTCGAGATTCCGTTTATGCCACGTACAGCTCGTAGTGTTGCTATTGCCATTGCCATGCTGCTGATTGTGGTCACTCTTACCAGCATCAGTCATGTGGTGATAGTATTGCTCGTACAGTGGTCATCGTTGCTAGCATTCCAATAGATGCAGATTCACGAACAACTTCACGCCAAGCTCCGAGGCAAGAAACTGGCCAAACAAAGAACATAGTCTTCCTTCCGACATCCCGAACCCTGAACCCCAAGGAACCACACCTCACACCCTCGACCGTATAGGCCTAGGATGGCCTAGGTTCCCTCAGCCGTATTTCGCTAAGCCGTGTAGCGATCCTGTCTGAAACGGAGGCAGAGTTCTTCGCCAACGGTGGCTTCGATGACATTTGCTACTCGGTCTCTCGTTCACTGAGCCGGGTTTAATCTTTCCTTCTTGCTTCGGCTGCGGGTTTTGGCGTTGAAGACAGGGACTATACTTATTGTTGATGCCCAGACTCCTGCATGACCTACAATATTAATGCAACATCGCACATGTCTCATGTCGCGCAATTTACTTCCCCGCAACCCCTTAATTTCAATGTTGCATCCCCACAAGTATAGTGCGTGCAGGAGGTTGTGAGATTGGGGGTAGCCGGGGAACCGCGGGGAGGTTGCAAGTGATGCAGGTGTTATAGGCCATCAACCGTATGCCGTTGATTACATGCTTTTCGTCGAGTGGCGTCTCTTTGTTATGCGTCGGGTTGGACTCTGGTAGAGGGTTCGCATGGGCTAGCGGAAGGCAAGTTGGATTCGATCATGGCCAACAGTTTCGGGGGTATGGCCCGCAAGAAGAATGCCACACATACCTGATTCATACCCCCATTCCTGCCCTTGACTGAGGATAATACCAGGGGTCGTCTCCATGTGCATAGCCCGAAGGAAGGAACTTTGCGTTGCCCGCGCAGCATTTAAGAACCCTGAGATAAGCTGAGCGATCACGCCCGGACAACCGAAAAGCCACCCCGACAACTACTCTAGACCGGCTTTAGGTTTAAAGTCTTCGGGGTGCTTGAACAATTTTAGCCGCTGTTGAGATTAAATCGGCCGTTGGTTCGGTTTAAGCGGCCCAGTGCTTAAATCGGTCGCCGGGGTCCATGTTTAGCCGGGCTTCGGCAAGCTATCTCCAACCATGACAACATCCATGCTACCAACCGATCCATTGGCCAGTGCATCCATGCCGAAGCCATGATAACTTCCATGCTACCAATCCATGAGCCATTGCATCCATGCCCAAACCATGATAACATGCCTGCTACCAACCCATCCATGGGGCCGTGCATCCATGCCCCAACCATGACAACATCCAAGCCACCAGCCCATCCATTGGCCAGTGCATCCATGCCGAAACCATGATAACATGCATGCTACCAGCCCATTCATTGGCCATTGCTTCTGCGGGTGCTTGAGTTGATTAGTCAGGTCTTTGGACATTGACGGCATGGTAGGATATACTAATTTGCCCGTTTTATCCAGTGAAATCCCCGAAAGAATCCATTCAGGCCCCCACTTCAATTATACTTTCCTTAGCTCCGCGTCAACATTCTTCAAGCTCTCCCCTACCCCTAAACCCTAAACCCTTAGAGTTATGCACTAAGTTCCCCAGTAGTACCCGTTTGCCATTCTTCTTTTTGGGGGCTCCCTTCGTAAAACCAAAGAGTAGGAGCATGGGTACCCCTTCTTATTTAGGGGCTACCCTAAACCCTAAACCCCTAAATCCTAAAGCCCCGAAACCCTAAACCTCTAAACCTTAAACGCCTAAATCCTAAACCTCTAAACCCTACACCCCTAAACCCCTAAACCCCTAAAGCCCCTAAAGCCCCTAAACCCTTATAGTTGCACGGTTCTACCATAAGGGGACTCGGCAAGGCTATGCCGTACCTATCACCGCCGACAAGCTGCCACGAGCGGCGCTCCTGGTCGAGCGACTGGAGGCCTTCCACGCCTCCCGGCCTTTTAGGGATTTGGGGGTTTAGGGTTTAGGGGTTTGGGGGTTTAGGGGTTTAGGGGTTTAGGGGTTTAGGGGTTTGGGTTTAGGGGTTTGGGTTTCAGGGCCTCCTGGCTTTTTAGGGATTTAGGGATTTGGTAAGGGGTTTAGGGTTTAGCCGAGAGGTTTGCGGCAAAGTCTTCGGCGTCCCGTAGCCTGAAATTTCAGGGGTGATCCGCAGGTTTAGGAGAGACAACCGAATCCCCAATCCTCCGAACTGAAGCCAGCACCCTAAAACCCTCACTAATGTAGGGGCCTTCTCACTAATTACAATTTGTAATATTTTTTGGGTGGGTCCTTATGAGGATTGTGGTAAAATATACCCCAGAACCCTATTCAAAACGACAGCCTCCTATGCCCACAAAAGTCAAGTCTAGGGTTTAGGGTTTAGGGCTTAGGGGAGGGTTTAGGGTTT